TTCAGACGTATGTCATGTATACTTGCCTAGCAAGTCGTTCCCTTGCTTTTTCTCACAAATTTAACAAACGCCTCAAACAACCAAGGGGAAATAAAGACGAACAAAGGGGGATGTGCGTTAGAAAATAAATGGGAAACGCGCCAGAATGTTTGCTTTTTCGCTTGTCTGGCTGAAACGCTGCAAATTTTTCACTTTTTGTCACTGTGTTTCAAATGTCGCTGCATTGTCTACTTTTCGTCTAAATATACGACGGATTGTCTACTTTTGCTTCCACTTTTCAAAACTCTGTAGCATAACCCCAAACGTCTTCCGTGTTCGTCTTTATTCCTACATTACGCCACACGAAAACTGTAATCCACGTAAAAATGGTATATGTTTAGAGATATCTATTGAAACGAATAAGCGAATTACTTTACAACGTTATGAGTGTTGGCAGATGCTGGAGCATCAATCGTTATGTATTTTAATTGTGATTTCCATGAAAGCTGTTCTCATTTTATCCCACCGTCTGTTATAAGTCGATCTTTGACAGCTAAGGACGCTTGACAAGTTAACGGTCGCCCTACATCTACGAGCTCTCTCAGTGACTTTGATTGGACTAATCTTAGAAGACTAACGAGGTGATTAGTTATTTATTTCCCCCCTTATTGGTTGCTTGGGCTAGACGTAAAAACATTGTAAAAGCTGAACGTTTCAATAGCTGTACGACATATGTGTCTCAGGATTCACTCTGGGTATTCGGAAGTTTGTTAACTACTCACGTTATTCCAGCGAAATCGGGAGTTGAGCATGCTCCTGCATAACACTTGTCAAGTCCCTCGGCAGCCCATAAACCTATTTAAGATTGTATTGTCTCCATAGTCGATGTCTATAACCCCTTCTCACTCAACCGGACTACAAGTAATGCTCTTTATACTGTAAAATACCTCATCAGCACAAGTTGGTGGTACTGCTTCTCTTTGTTAGGTTCACCGTCATCGACCTTTAACTTCAGGGTCCTTAACTGAATCTCATAATACGGTCACTGTATATCCAGAGTTAATGCTTGGCTTTTGAGTATGCAGGTCTTTCAAATCAGTCAGTATCTGGTACACATTAATTCATCGCCTGTCTGAAGGATTGACATAGTTTCCAGATTTGAACTAAGGTGAAACGAATAAGAAATGTAACTATTAGTCTTTTGCCTTGATAACAAGGTACCTTTAATTGTCCAAAGCAGTTGGTTGTCATTCTAGGGAATCGGATTTCTGTCCATATGACCAAAGGTTCATGTCATCAAGCTTTATTCTTTAAAAAAAAAGAAATCCGTGTATATGGTCAGAACCAACTTAACGGTTTTCGTACGTCAAAAAGTAAACTACAGTGATATTTTATGGAGGTATTCATATATTCAAATTTTCTTTCCGTTCTAACGAACCAGTTACTGATATCAAAGCTAGGGACGAAACTGCACAATCTTTTAGCCATGGTAATTTGTGGCAACAAAACAAGACTACTTACATTTTTTCTACAATCAATTCTTTCTGTTGTCTCTTCGACGTAGTGATCGTCGTTCATCGTTTAAACCCATTTTATTTCTGTTTCAACTTCGATGTAAACATGAAAATTAATCTTAATAATTTTGTTTTTATCGACTTGATGTGTTTTCAGTTCCATGGGCGAACACGTTGATCAGGTGTTTGAGCAAAAATACGACAATGCTACCCAAAAATTGTCAACTTAATGAGTGTGATTTTATCCTTTAAGGATGCGTTTATATGCATGGTTTACTATGAATACTTGGATTTAGTGTCAAGTATGTTTTAAAGTCAGAACGTCTTCAGGCCTGATTTCAAGAGTTTGAACGACTTGTCTTGCTAGCCAATGTATGTTGGTATAATATTAGGAATGTGTATTTTAGAGCACTGGTTCTTACCGCAACAGGTGATATCAGATGTCATGAAGTCTTAAAAATATAACTGCCCATGTCTCCGAAACAACTTGTCCTAATGGTGCTACAAAACACTGTAACCATTTTATACTTGGGACCTTAGATGAGATAGTAGATTATTTTCTTTAGGTGACCCCAAATGCTCTGGTACGGCCGATGGTGTGGAGGGTCAGTTCTTCCTGTCTAAATGCTCTCACATGGGCACACGTATATAACCAATGCAGTGAAGCCCTACTGACTTCTTTCTCGTGGCGGGGGTGTTGTTTACGAAATTGCGAGGATGAAAAAGTGAGTGTCCGGTGCTTTAACCAGGTTGGTGGATACGGAGGGTCCACCTAGGGGAGTTGGGAAACCTTGATTCTTAACCAATGGTGTACATGGACTTCAGTATCCTGAACGAAAAAATGGCGTGTGAACCAAACGTTGGTCATCGGTTACCATGGGACTGCGTCTCCTAACGTTGCCCACTGCCTTGTGGATCAGATCTTTAGATCGAAGGCTCTGGGTGTGGCTCCCTAAGAAAACCACCTACTTCGGTTTGGACACCCGGGTAGTATCATAGCCCGCACATAAATCAAGTGACTTGTGTGGCGCATATGCATTTGGTGCCCCTTCGTACCAGTATATGTGTTCAAACAAATAAATAATATTCTTTAGGTTGCATTACCAACTCCGCCTGGAGTTCCTCCGGGGGCTTCTGCCGGCCGCAAGCCTGGATAAAGGAGGAGGGTTGGGTATGAGGTTAGCGACCTCATCCCGTAGAAAACTAACTCGCTGAAAAAACGCTAACTAGGTTGTATTATCTAATTACTGTAGGTTACAAGCAGTTTGTATTAAGCAAGCTGTTATTATTTACGTCGAATTATTTAAAGATTTTAGAGTAGTGAGAGCAAATTGGTCCACCAATGTAAGTTGTTGATTATTAATTTAACCCATAAGTCAATCAGTCGCAACACAGAACCTGGTACGTATGTGTTGTGAACGGGGAAATAAGAAGCCCAGACAACTACGAAAGCTATTTTCTTGGGACGTTATTTCATTTCATTCAAACCTTGTAAAACACTTATATTTATTTTTGTCCCTATTTTATTCTACATAACGAGTTTTCGTTCTATGTAACATTCACTGCCATACCCTTTTTTGTCCCGAAAATATTGTAATTTAAACATAATATTTTGCATCTTATTTTCTACCCTAATTCCCAGTTTCGGGCATAATTGTATTTTTCCAAATTATCGTACGTTGTAGTCAGGATATTCACTTATTTATTCATGTACATTTTTGCACTAATCCGAATTCAGAGAATTCAGAGTGTTCCAACTGTCTTGTCTTCTCTCACTTGCGTGCTTGCCAACCAATCAGGTTCTAAATAGTTCTCTCTCTACCCCATGTCGAACTCACGCGTACTAGACTGAAGGTTAAGCCGCTCAGCCTATCGCGCCAAGGTCATAATCTGGACTAGACAGATCAAGGTCAAGTCATAACAAGGTATCGACGGGGTAAAAGCGATTCAAGGTCATAACAGTATGTATGTCGGTTCAAGTTTCCATACCCCGTTAGCACGGAAAGATGGAATTGTCAAACCAACTCCCATAGTAATAAAGATATTAACAGTGTTAGTGGTGATAAAAAAGGCTAGGCATAGAAGATACGATTCAAGAAGATACAAATTAGTGTAGTGAAAAATTTATGAGAAATTCAGTAGCTAAGATCTTTGGAAAAGACGAAGAAGGGCTGTATCTGTGCCATTGCAAACGATTTTAATCCATGTCATTCAGTCTCTAACCACTGGTTACGATAATTATGTGAATTCCGATCAGGTAGTCTACACTCATTAACATGTGCCAGTCCAATGGTTGATGACTTCATGGGCTGATGCCACGACGTGCAATGCTATCCGGTATTGGAGATGGTTGGAAGAAAGTTAGGGGCGGCCAAACCAAAACGTGGCATCAGTGCTTGAAGTCACTAACTTCTAGTCTGAGCCATGTTGGTAGATGCAGACTACTTGGTTGGGGTCCGCGTGACAATCGTAACCAATGGTTGGAGACTCTTGGTGACATGGCTCAGAATCGATCACAATGATGTGGGTGTATACACTCCCTGTCTTCCCTTAAACTAAGAGATTAAAATCGGTTCATACCTTTTTTTCTACGAACCAATTTCTTCTTCTTGTACTATATCTCTATATGCAATCTTTCTCTTATATATTACCACCTATACCTAACCACTGCTATGAATCCGGTGTTCATCTTGTGTGCTGATGCGGTATGGCAACCTGGACCGATGCACATATTTGCCTGGTTCTACGTTGTAGCTGACTGACTGGGCTGATGCCATGTTTTGGTTTGGCCGCCTCTAGCTTCCTTACATCCTACTCCGACACACACATCGCTCCTTTTGGACGTAGGTCAATTTATTCTTCATGACAAAAGTATATTAACACTTACCGAAGTTACTCATCTTTGCTCAAATTTTTTCTAGTCAGTTTCGTGCATTCCAAGCACTGCCAAGTTGTATCCTCTCATGCCCAGTGTTATTTGAATGATACTTCTAGTCCTCCACATTTTTCGGATGTTCCAAATACCGATATTAATTGTTGTGGTTGTCAGAAGGAGCATTAGTCCTTGACTTACAAGTATCAGCTTACACCATACGGCGTCATAACCCTTCTATTTAAAGATCCTCCAACTCCCAGGGCAGAGTTTAAACGATCTTAGTGTTATTTTCTGGTTGACCACTTTTTAAAAAGGTTTTTCCACGAGGTGAGGTTCCCAACCTTATGCTCAGCATCTAATTTGAAATCGTGAGAAACCGTCGAGAGACTCCATACCGAGTTGACTTTATGTAATGGACAGTTCTAATTTTTGGTCATGGTATATGACGTTTACTTTCTTTTGTGAACCTGGTCTTAATGATTTCCTGCTTCAACATTGCATATTTAGTATTAACATAGTTCCTCTTTGTTTTCAGAAGTACCAGGCCACTCTATATTCAAATTATCATCAGTATTCAAAGGCTTGATTAAAGTTGTGTAGTATCTACAAGGTTCAGTACAATACCCTTACTAATGGATGACATTATTCCTGACTTAGTACGTGATACGAATTTGAGTTCACCCACTTTGGACAAAGTCCCTGTGACGATTCTGTCAGGATACCTTGGTTAGTTCTCATTTTATATTGTCCGAACTTCGCTTTTTGAAGTCCTCTAGAAATCTAAGTTTGGTAATCATATAAGTGGTATTTTCTTTTGTTACAGTTCATCATATCCCTAAACATACTCAGTCTGATTCCGGTCTTCTCACTTGAATTAGACATGAATACTGCTTTATGGATTGTTTTTAGATGTGATGGTTCATCATGTTAGTAACGGACGTTTGGGCATTATTCTTTATTTCTCTGGGCGAATTTTTTCTTCAGCTACTGCTATTTGGTTAATAGTCCTTTAACGTACCATTCTTGTGTTGTTCTCGAAGATTCTAAACGCAAATTTGTCTCATCGATTTTCGAATGTAGACGTAAAATCATAGTACAGATATCTGTATTGTAAGTGATAAAGGCATTTAGGTGCTCGCCCCAATTTTACATGTCGACGTAATTGGAATTAGCATGTCTGAATACAATTTAGTCATTGTGAATACTGTAATAAGACGTTTTAAGATATAGTAAACCCTGAAATTAAGCGACAAGAAATACCTAATCTGATAGTCTGTTTATTTATTTATTTACTTGAACACATAAATATTGGTACAAGGGGGCACCAAATATATCTGCGCCACACTGATAGATAGTCTGTTCAATTGATGCAGTTGGAAATAAGCATTTTGTCAATGTGTTAAGTATTTGAATGACATAGAATACATTGATATAAAGTTACATTCTTACCATCTATGCGGTGCAACATTTTAAGATACATAGCTCCTAATGTTCGTTGTGATTTTATTGCCGCAAAATATCATTTACCTTAATGTCTTTATAGAAAGGGATTCTACTAGATGCAAGTACTTTCTAACCACTGGTTTTTATGTTCGCTAAATCTATGGTGTTAATGTGCATAGAGTATACCGCTGTGCAAGCTGTTCACACATCTTGATCAAGCAACTAATTAGTTAAAGTTAATCTACTTTAATACACTCCTGGTCCACCAAAGGACAGACTTCAAAAGTAAATGGACACCAACCAACTTGTATCCACTGTATTTTCAAACGTATATTTCGTCATTGTCGATAATTTGCGTTTTGACGTTGCATTAATAGTTACAATACATTTATCAAATTGATTTTAGGTGCTGGAAAAACTACTCTTTTGAATTATATTCTAACCTATGCCCATAACAAAAAGATTGCTGTTCTTTTAAATGATTTTGGAGAAGGTTCAGCTGTAGAGTCTAGTATTGCGTGGAGTGAAAAAGATGGCAACCTCTTTGAAGAATGGATAGAATTGCGTAACGGTTGTTTATGCTGTTCTTTAAAAGATGCAAGTGTACGAGCCATTGAAAATTTAATGAAGCGGAAGGGAAAATTTGATTATATTCTAATTGAGACATCTGGACTTGCTGATCCAGGTTATTTGTGTTCTTGAAAGGTGATCTTCCCAATTATCCAGGTCCTGTTGCATCACTCTTCTGGTTAGACGAAGATTTATGTAGTCAAATTTGCCTCGATGGAATCGTAACAGTTTTGGATTCAAAATACTGTTTACCACATCTTATGAAGTCTACTGGGGATGAGATGAGTGAATATGAAAGGTTCTTAAATATATTTGACACTTATTTTTATTCCAGACAGGTACTTTTGGCTGATGTACTCATTGTCAACAAAACTGACTTGATTTCTGATTCAGAAAAATCAGAAGTGGTTCAGCGTATTAGGTAAGTCACTTTTTGATGGTCCACTCATACAGTTTTCCAGGTGATTAAGTAGTACGTGCGTGTCTATTACTGAAGCTGTTTACGGGTCTCTAAACAATTTCATTTCCCACGCTTCCAATTGTATTTTAAAAATTCCGGTAACACAACCCATAGTGCATTACATTTACATGGTATTATAATTACAACTAATCTTTTCAACATTTAATGTATCGTACTAAAAACATCCATACAACTAGACGTTAATAGACAGTCTCACACAAGATAGAATGGGAGTATAATAAAGAAGTAGAAGGTGGTCACATAGAAATTCACTGAATAAAGAAGAGTAATATTTATTTGCAGATACAGTTCAGTCAAAAATACGATAAAGATTAATTTCATCAGCTCAAGAAGGTTCTTTTTACGTTTATGATGAATGTTATAGAACACTAGCATGAGCTCACAACTAGTTTGTTTCGATCCATAACTGGTAGTGTTTCAAGCCACAGTGTTGTGTGATCTCAAATGCAAACCAAGGAGTAGCCACAAATCAATACATGCCAGTGCTATACATCTGCCGCTCATATCATACTACCATGTAATAAACAGACCACTTCTGTGCTCCAGTCTCCGCCAATTACAGTCTCAGGGTAGCAATACACCTTGTTTAAGTTGGTTTAATATTCGTAAAATATGTATAAGCCACGGAAGTAGGCTTGTCAATATGGTGATACTAATTATGTTCAGTGTGAGCAAATACATATTACCAGACTCCGGCATTACATGGAAGTTGTTGACATCGGACGTGAGCAGTTTTCCTGAAGTAAAATCGGTTAAACATAAATTCGACAGCATCTTCAGTTTGAGGGCGGTAGGTTTCGCACGTTCTGCTCTCGTCGACCAGTTATATACCTAACTTTACAGTCAAATTAAGGATACACCGGGACCAAATGTAGCTTAGAGTGGCATAACGCACTCTGGTTTTTGCTGTGCTCAGATCGATCAACAATGCAGACAACTGGCTTCTCATCCCTCTCGCTAAAGATACGAACGACGTCCATAATTATGCGAATTTACTTCGGTATGGTATCTCAGCGCCATACAGCGAGTTAGAAGTATTTTGAAGTATTACAATGTCATTGAGATTGGAAGCACATGTTACTGCTCGTAGATGTCATGGGGCTAAAATCCACACTAATTAGTCGCCTATCGGTAGCTACTATCGTTTTGTGTCGTTCTTGATGCTTGCGAGTTTACGTCAACCACTCACTCAATATCTTGGTTCACTCATTTCGTTGGTTACCTATAACCACCATAAAACTGGTCTTAGCATTTTGTTCAGCTCCATATCATTTTTGTTTCTAAAGGCTTTTGTTTTCATGTTTTCGTTTACCATAGAGATATCAATAATTCTGCTAGGCTCATTGAAACTAATTATTGCAAGTAAGTCTCGTTTTTAAACGATTACCTGAATAAACATTCATTTTCAATAGTTTTCAACTTACAGCAATCTGTTTTAGGTGGTGATGTTGCATGAAGTAATTTGCTCTTTTGTTAGAGTTGGCTTCCATAGGATTAAGATCTAACGAAAATTAAATAGACTCCTTTATTTGCTTATATACGATTATGTGAACGAAGAATATTCTTCTCAATAATTTCTCATCAGAATCTACAATTAAAAATCCAAATTAATAATCTATAAGATTGACCAGATTTAAGGCAGGGTATATCATTTAAAATTGTAATATGTGAATCAAGAATTGTTTTATAAAATCAAATTGTTAATATTGGAGCTAACTATTATAAAATGTTAACATGAATCGGTTAATAAGTGAAATGAAATTGTGAGATTAATGATCAGAATAAATATGATCAACATGGGGTTAGAGAGGGAGAACAAGGGGACAAAAATCAGAAATTACGTAATACATAAGATAATATCAATTAGGTCTGATATAGTAGATCGGAGTGGATACTGAATGAATTCCTCAAAAAGGTTATCAAGTGTAATAATAATAATAATAATAATAATAATAATAATAATAATAATAATAATAATAATAGTGGTAAAGATAATAATAATAAGTTCGGGACATAAAAGTGAACATTAATCAAATGTCACCATATTATAAAATTAATCACTAACTAGTTGGCCCCGAAGTTGGCCAGGGTAAAAGGAGCGGTTGAACATATTTCTTTTAGATGCAAATCTCTGGCTTTTTAATTCAAATAGCAATTTGTTCAGCCGTCTGCGAGATTCTTAATGTGACGAAATACTGAATACTTAGTAGCAAAAAACGTTATGTTGGATAGTTCGTAATAATAACTGTCTAAGCAATCCTCTTAAATATAAGGATGGTCCATAAAGGAGGTATTTTTTTGTTTACATGCATGAAGTAATTTGCTCTTTTGTTAGAGTTGGCTTCCATAGGATTAAGATCTAACGAAAATTAAATAGACTCCTTTATTTGCTTATATATTTAGACACATAAATATTGGTATAAGGGGACACCATATATACATATACATATATATATACCCCACACTGAAAATGAGGTTGTGAAGAGATAGAGAATGTAAAGAACGTGTAATAAAAAGAACAACAACGAAAAGAAATTAGTATGTGACAGTTTAATAATAATAATCGGAGAAGCAGTTCGGCCAAGCGAAATGCAACCAAAAAATATAATTTCAGTCAAAGAAGTTATGTTCACTTTTATAAAGAGAGTAAAAGGAAGTTACAGAAGGATCGCCACTGGCTTCTATTCTGGTCCACATCTGATAACATCTAGCTACTGTGTTACACCATCTATGAGACCCCAACCAGGCAATCACGAGGGACCGACAGATGCCAGTCCTATGCAGCATTAATTCATACCACAACACCATGTCATACACTGACCACCTCTTCATTTTTTTCAACCAGTCCCAGCATCGACATTCGTAAGACGTGCCCGAGCCACCAAAGTCGGTGTTTCAAGATGGCAACACTAATTAAAATATCGTCTCTGTACTCAAACACACGACACCGAACCTCTGCATTACCAACATGGTGTTGCCACTGGATGTTGGCAATCCTTCGGAGACAACGATGATCAAACACAAAGAGTCGTCTAACATCATCAACTGGGATGGGTCACGTCTTACAAATATAGGGCAGAACTGCTCTCACCGACGCGTTGTAGCTCCGACCGTTTACAGCCAGACTAACATCACGAAGGCGTCAAAGATGGTCTAGATTGGCATAACTCGCTCTGGCTTTCACTGTACGTGAATTGATCTCATCACTCACACCATCACCAGTATATACGCAGCTACCGGATACACGAACTGCTCGACTACTTCTATCCGCTTACTACCCAGAGTGAGTTCAAGTTCAGGGTTTTGCCAATCTTGTTAAAATACTATGAACTTGATTGGTGCAAAGCACATGCCATAGATTTCCACCATAAGCGGGTTTCTGTATGAGTAGAAAAATAAAAGAATATACATAATGTGATTCAAAGGGAATAGACAAATGACATAAGGTAAGAACGAACAGTATCAAATAGTTGTGAGTAGAATTAATGGGAATGAGGATGGAAGCTAGGATATTTCACTCGGAGTTACAGTTACCATTAAATTACTTACCTTCCTAGGTTGAATTGTACTAAAATTTTTGACTGGTAAAACGTAGTTAGCTGTCCTTAAGGACAAAAATCAAACCAATGGGAGATGCAACGAAAACAAAGAAGTAAACAATCACAAGTTTAAGGCCAAGGAAAACCAATCAACATCGAAGTGTACAGGACAGGCTGTGAACCTCATGTGGAGAAATTCGAACACTTCACTTCTACCTGAAGTTTGTATTAATGTCGTTCAGAAGAACGATGAAAGCTTCACGACCAAACCATCCAGCTCAGAGAACATAGCTCTATAGAAATCACCCACATGAGCTACAAATCTTCTTTACCATCTCAAAATCATATGAGCGTAGTTAGCTGGTATACAGAATTTAATATGTTGGAAGCTTTTTTTCTGGATAGTCGACTGATCAGCATTTTAGAACAGTATAGTATCAATCTAGTTTCTCCGTAACTTCTTCGATGATTTCATTCTCTAAATTTGTTACATAGAAATCAGCTGAATACTTCAACACAGGAAATAGGTCAAAATTCGAAAAAAATAAACATAAAATTAACAATTATTAACAATTCGTAAAATTACAGTGGTAAGTACACAAATATATAGATAGTGATTTATTGACGAGGCTGTAGAAAATCAAACAAGCAATGAATATGAAAAGCTTATACGGTCGTCTATGAAGTCTTACCAGGCTAAGGAAATGACACTTCCGAATAAGTAAACTACAATTGTGGACTCGAACCCTGGTCCTGCTATATGTAGTAGACGAAACCTAACCTCGTTGAAAAACTGCAAAGGTGGATTGTGGGTTATTCGTGACTGTTTAGTGTTGCTTACTGCGTAACTACTGTCAACCAATTGTAATAAGATTGAGCCACATCTTGTTTTCATTTGGCTCTTCCCGAACCACATTAAGAGCTGACCACTCATCTGTTGGTTAAGTAGCCTGATGGTACGCTCGACATGGTTTTATCCACAGAATTAGGTAAATTGGTTATACATCAAAAAAGCAAAATTAGTTGGCTTATCCTTATTTGGATAGACGCGATTAGTACACTAGAAAAAGGAAAACTAAGACTAGCTCTGTATAATATCCTTCTAATCTTCCTTACTAGTTTATCATATAGAATATCGCTAGCTACCTCGCCGTTGAATTATAGTTTTAAGTACAGAGGTTTCTCGTAAGCTGTCCATATCCTTAACGTCTTTTTCCCATTTTATCGTGAACTATTATTCCTTCGTTATGGTTTAAGAGCTCTTTTCCATTTTTACTCTTATCGATAGTAATGAGTTTATCATCTATGTAAGAATATTTTCCATTTATTTAGGCACAAACATTGGTACTAGGAGGCACCAAATATATATGTACCACACTTCGGTTAAAGCGCCGAACATCCCCTTTTCGTCCTCCAAACTTCGTAAACAACAGTAATACTGTAGAATGCAGGCACTGGCTGAATATGCGTGGCCATGTGTGAACATTTCGAAAGGGAGAGTGGACTCTCCTCATCCTCGGCCATACCAAAGTGTAAATCTTTTTCCTCAGTAACCTCCTGAAAGATTTCGTCTTCTAAATTGGCTAGGAAAAAATCGGTGAAAGTTAGGTCTAAACGTAAACCCACATCTACGTCATCAATTTGCTTATAATGAATGTTGAGATCTAAATGAACTTTAACTATGCACTTTCTTAGTAATTTTTAAAGACTATCTTCAGGGTAGTCGGTGCTGATTTGCTTTTCTGATTTTTTATATTATTTCGACTAGTAATATATTGATGAAAAAATGGAACATAGTTAAAAGTTTGACGAAAATGCTTTTTAATAGCATAATTTGTTTAATTGAAAAAATGGTAGTCAAAAGCCTTTTATGTAGCTCGTTTGCCTACTCAGCTTTAATCCAAATTGCGTCAGGGCTCATGATATTACCCGGCTACCTAAAGCGAAATAGGTGGAGCAAAGGTCAAACTTGCAACTTATTGGTTGAATGGTGAGTACTTGAACCATTAAGCCACCATTCCACAACTGAAAATCTTAGCAACAGTGTATTATTTCCCTTCGATTATTTCTAAATCAGTCCCAGAATCGGGTGCAAACAAAATGGAGTTTATCTAGAAATTTACACAGGAATCTTGTAGTATCTTCTCAAGCTCTCTACCAGTGGTGATTGATTGAAAATATACCAACCAATCTGTCTTGATTCGATCCGTACGTAAGCATAAAATAGTCAGAGCTTTATCTTGCTAAAACTTTTGTTTAATCTATGACGTAGTCTAAGAGGGATGTTAACGGAATCTGTGTTTCATAGAGAAGGGATCGAATGTGGCTACTGGTGGTATGGGGGACGAGGGTGTCGTTCTATTTGGTACTCGTCAGTTGAATCTACCTGCATCCCAGAGTTAATGTCCATCCTAGGACTCCAACCTTTGTATCTTTCATTTCAAATGCTAACGCTTTATCTAGTTAACTATTGAGTCCAGTTAGCCACTCGCTTGTACAACGGATATAAATTTTAGTCTCATTTGTAATGACTTGGATCCCATTACTAGCCACATCCATTTATTCCATGTAAACGTGTGTCAAAATAGCTGTTTCGAGGCAATTCGCATAGGGTGCATATATGCCAAATAGAACTGATGAAATAACATTCGGAATATCAGCAACGAGACAATCAAAAAAAGAACAAATTCAATTAGAACCTGTCGTTGGTTCTCGAAATGATTATATAACTGTTAGGAGGATGATAAATTATTTGAGGAATGATGGACTCTTAGCTGTCGTTCTGTCTATATATTTACCGTTTCCTTAGAATTGTTGTGCACATAATTTCCTAAATTTTGGACTTAGTTCCACGTTCACATCAGTGATATTGAAAATGCAAATATTGATGGTTTATTTCTCTAAGAATATTTTGAACCTAGTAAATCTAATCCTCTGAGTATCGACAGCAATTGCTTTTGTTATTTTTTGAAGTGCTTACACTGTCTGATAGATAATGCAAAGTTAGTTGAAGTATTCTAAATATCTAAGAATGTAAACTCTCTTTACTGATACTATCATATCATAGTGTTAAGTACTGTTTTGACTGACAAATTGACTTTGTCAGCGCCTATTAGAGTTTTGTTTCTTTTGTTTTAGAATGCTTTATTTATCATTTTGTGCGTCAGTGCCAGATACTCAATGAGATTGAACAATTACATTTTTGATTTTTAACAGATTGAATGTTCGAAAGATAGCATCTCTTCAAATATTCTTCTTCTAGAATTCATTCTGAAGTTAGAATCTGAGTTTTTAATTCATTTACTTGTAGGGTGAATTTGGAAGAAATTCTCGATCTTCAGATGTATTCTAACAGGTTGGTTTAATGTGTGTTTGGTTAGATGTTTCATCTCTGATTTCTTCGATTGTAGTTTGAACATGATTATTGATTTACATATGTGAGATTTTAAGATACTGTGTTGTGTGCGCTTCCCTCTCTATTTTGTTATTTCCGAAACTCTACGTAACTGGTATTGGCTGAGTAGTATAATGAGGGAAAAAAATAATTTTTATTATCTCGACAAAATACTAGACGTACTGTAGTTCTTGTGATACTGCATACGTTGTTGTATTTGTATTCAATATGTTTTGTTCATGTGCATACAACTTATCACGTGTCAGGTCCACCATTTGATTTCCGTGTTATGTTCTGCATACAATACACCGTACTTCTGAATCTTGTGCTCTATTTAAGACACGGCGCCGACCATATGTTAACCACAGCGGTGCACGCATTTTAGAGTAATATACACATCGAGGGATTCTTTGCCATACTTGAGTCACAAGCACTGTGAAGTACACATTTTCTAACTCGAAAATAAAACATAGACGGTACATCCAAATTAAAAGGAATTTATAATTTTGACCATATCGCGTATAGTTAGTTGGGGTCACTAAACACCCTATAATGCTGAGCGACTAACCATTATCACTTAACACTCTAGTTAAAATAATACAGCAAAAATTTTTATTACCAAAAGTTTTTATCTGTACATGACTAACAGATTATCTGTCGTAGAAACTTGTCATAAGTATTCATAATTATAAAATGCATTTTGATTTATGTGAGGATACTATTGAAGTTTAGGAATGAGCAAATAACTACTTTACTTGAGTTTCATTTTAGAGAATTGTTCATTAATTTAAGGTACTAAGTTAGTCTAAGATTTCCAGATTTTTAATTGAACTAAGTGGGTTAAAGTCCGATGTCTTCATAATCGAGCATCAAGTTACTTTGTTTTACATTTGGTTACTGAGACATATTCAATATTAGGTGTGATTATGTACTGCGTTTTTTTAATGGTCATTGGTGAAATCTGGTATTTGTGTTGCACAACTAATCGTGTAAACCTGAAAACAGTGAGATATTGCAAAATGCGTCAAAGTTTGCTAAATGAACCAAACTTTTAGATGCTGAAAGCATAAATTGACTAACCAGATATCTATGTAACTGATATATCGTGACCCCTAAATTTCACTTTATTCTCATTATTAGTATCAAGTGATGCTGTGGATAAGATTAGAACCTACGTCAATATTTGATGTTCAACTGAGAGGATGTAAAGGTCAATCGAAACCAGTAATTATATGCATACCAAGTCATTAATAATATGATAACGTTCTTTACATAGCTTCAATCCTTAAGCTCTTGCGGTATTATCATATCAACTTGATATTGTTTCAAAATATCATTCACTTTTTGATGGTGTGTATACTTTGGTTTCGACTAGAAACGGCTTCCTCATATTTAAAAACTATATTGTTATGGTCGTTTTTAATTTAAGTTTCGTATTGTTATAACTTTTTTTAATGCAGTCCTAAACTGGAAGCTTTTGTTCCGTCTTCCAAATCGGTATCAATTCATTTGAATAGAGTATGTTTAATCAAAAGCGTTTAATGTGTCGTATTTTCAGCGAATATCAACGCTGACCTTTGAGTTTTCTCGTCCATTCAGTCGTAAATTGTTTGAAAATGTTATAGAGTCAATGCTTTGGGAGCACAGTGTTCACGATGAGAGCGGAAATCCAATGAATGTTCTACGCTTAAAGGTAATGCTCTCTTCATAATTACTATTAATCATTTTAAATAGTGAAGGTTTCTCGTTATAAGAACGAGATATTTAATGTCGTATGTGACTTTCCTTAGGATCTACCACTATAGTACGAATGTGTCCACTATTATTCTGCCTTCTGTATCAATGAAAGTTGAGTGTGCAATACTGAATGTAGGGGAGACAAATTGTAACTACGAAATCAAATATACTGACTGTATTGGCGTATATAAAGATGAGGATGAGGGTGAAAGAATAATGCTTGAAGCATTCCTAAATCTTCAGAATACCTTAGGATAGAATGACATTCAGTGGGGACTAAAGATAAAAATGATTTTAAAAACCCAAAATACTTCAAGGAAGGATTTTCGTCTTATAAACAATGACTGATAGTGGAAGTCACATACATATAAACCAACCCTATAATAAATAAGAACGTGTGTCTAAATTTGAACGAATAGTTTCACAATATTTGGGTCCCGAGTTAATGTGAGACATTAAAGAGGAAGAATGTATTTGTAAAATATCAGAGAAAGAATTCGAAGTAAATCCAACATCTACGAAGCACACAATATGTTATCTTAACAATTTTCGTTTCACACCACATGTCTCTTATACACTAATGTAAATACCTACTTCAAACAGTGTTCACGTTGATTGGATGACGTATTCAGTATACAGTAAACCAGAGAACCATGTACCTATTTATATTCGATAATTTTGTTGTTTGATTATGTTTTCTTTTAAAAAGCTTGGACCAGATTGCCAGGCGAATCGTTTGATTTCGAATTCTTTCTCTGAGATTTTACAAATACATTCTTCCTCTTTATTGTCTCAATCCTATAATAGTTCTTGTAGACTGGATTGTGTATACGTATCGAAACAATGACAACTAATGACTAATAAATGGAAATAAAAGTTTATCCACTACCGTTACATTCATAGTTTATAAATTATGTATTCTGGACATCAACAAGAATGTACATTCAATTGTTGAGGTAATTATGTTTACATTTGCATTTGACACCCTTTCTCTCAAAGTAATAACACAGCATCTATGCAGTTAGGTGTTTATCTCTAATTCTGTAAATAGTTTGAGAAGTCCGACTTTCAGATTTTTATCAGAATAACTAATTTTATCCCGATCATAGCTTATGGATACCTTATTCTAATAAAATCTACATTCATGTACTACAGCTTTAAAATATTTAATATCAAACTACTCGAATAAGCATATTCAACATTTTAATATGGTCCGATAATTGTCTAGTGCATGGTTGTTTTGAGATCTTAAATATATTTGAGAGTTTTGATTTACTACATAAATTTTTTTTAGACCAGACTAGTGAGTGGGACGCCACAGTTACTTTCCATCAATCTCTGGGATCCTTACAAATAAAATTTGGTTTGTAACGTGTTTTATGTAATATATACACTCGACGCCTTACTTTTCTATTTAAAACGTTAAGGGGACATCTTAGTTTTTAAGAAAGCGATAGTTTAAAAATGTTTTTCATAGTGTATGTTAATATAATTTTATTAGTTGACAAAGTCGTTCTCAATGTTCATAATGAGTCTTCTCCTCTTTGAAAGGGATTTATTCGCTTCATAGATGATGATTGTACTTACAGTCTACAGGGATTGAACGAAATTTATGATCTTTCCCAAATACCTAATGAAAGAGCTGAATTGCTTAACCTAAACGGAACAAGATTAATATTTATTGGTATGTCAAGAATATTCGAGGTTAAATAATCTTTTTACTTTAGGTCATAATCTATGTTCATCAATTTTGAAAGAATTGCTCATTAATTGTACAGTATGAAAGACACTTTATAGGATTGATTACATGTAACTTACATTTTGCTTGTACATACATCTTTACACTTATTTTTGTTTATTTCTAGTTTACGATTGTTAATTTGTTACAAAAAAAAACCTGTAGTATATTTCTGTAACTCTTAACTGTTTCAAACTGAAAAAAATTCAGAATTAAGACATTGCACCTAGAATAATAGAAACCCTTAATAGAGTCACGTATGGTTGATTTGTTGCAGTTAAAGTAGTAGAACTTTTACATATTTGACTAATATACACCATTTATCAGCAGTCAGTCGTTAACGTTTTCATAATGTCATCATACATAGTTGTACATTTTCAGTAATAATATCATCAGATAGAAATCACTTTCAGTGACTTGTTTTTCATAATTCGGTCGACACATTCAAATCTTATTTACTTATTTGAACACATAAATATTGGTACAAGGGGACACCAAACACATGTAGGATTTAATTTGTCCTACAGATATACTACTAGAACCGTAAACGTGATACTGGCGATTACAGAGTCTATGTGAAAGCTATGGTCAGAACAAGGACAGCTTGGCTTTAAACTTTATCTGTTTCTAAACGTGAAAACAATTAGTTTAGCACAATAATTAAGGAAATTACGGATATTAAGTGAAACGCACAAACATACAGACCAATATTGCGTGTCTTCTCGAAATGATTAAAATTATAAGTAACACTAATATAATAGGATGATAATGTCTTTCAATTGGTAGGTTACATGCAGCAGGAATAGTTTGCAGACACATCAGACCAGATGAACTTGGTGGGTGTCTATACGACGATTTGATTGGTTAGTTATAGACATAACTAACATTCCCTCTGAGCTGCACCACGTCCAGGCTTCGTTACCGTCGCACTCAAATAATCGGCCTCTCCCAGTAGGCACAGGTCCCGTGGAACCCGGCTGACCTCTTCGGTTGCTGTCTTCATTCGAAATGTTCTGACTCGTCCATCTGGGCCGTAATTGGCCTGTCTAACTATAGCTTACGGCCACAGATTTCTCGGTGAGCCAATATTGTTTACCAACACTAAGTTTCCCGGTTGTAGATTCCTTATGTCTAACCACTTGGATCTCGTCTGAAGGGTTGGTAGGTACTCATGTAACCATCTGTTCCAAAATAGGTTGGCTAGTCGTTTCGCTTCCCCCCATCTGTTATATAAGCACGTTTTACTCATCTGAGGTTCGTCTAACGATACACCTCTGTAAACTAACAATAACTTCTTTGGCGTAAGTACACACAGGTTGTCACAGTCACTAACTGGCTTTGCGAGTGGTCAATTGCTCAGTATTTCTTCAACCGCTATAAAAAACGTCTCCAAAGATTCATCCGTCAATACCTTTTGAAACAGTAGTGATCGTAGTATTTTTAGTGACTTTATGATGCGTTCCCATATACCCCCTCTATGACTAGCACTCGGAGGGTTAAATTGCCTTTCACAACCTCTTTTCGAAAGGGTGTTTTCTGTCTTATTCTGTTCTCAACTGCACACAATCTGTTTAAGAAGTGTCGGCTCCTCTGAAGTTTGAACCGTTGTCGCTAAATACATGTTTTGTGTGACCTGGCCTAGCAACGAATCTCGAGAGAGCGCATAAAAATGAGTCAGTGTCCAAAGCATGCATATTTCGATGTGGACTGCCTTAATAGGTAGGCAAGCAAACAAACGGCCGTATCGTTTTTCAACCACTTGCTTCTTAACGTTAAAAATAGTCTACAACAGAATTGAGTGCTTCCAGGAGACTTTCGGTTAGTGGATACATAATCTGCGTGCACGGCGTACTGTTGAGTCTCTTGCATAGGTAGCACTGTTTCAGGACTATTCGAATAGCCTCTTGATGACCCAGAAATCTTCGCGAAGACTGTTCAGGGTGTGAGTAATACCAGTGTAGCGGTAAATAAATCCCCAAAATAAATAGCTCTGTAAGTTTTCGACATTGGATGCTGACCATATGTTTTAGTGGACTCATCTAGCTGAAGGCGCTCGGTCAGGCATCCGCACCAGATCACGTGTGGTAACGCCGTGCTCAACATCAACCGCAATCGATAGCCAGAATAGATCAGAGAATTCCGATATATTGGTCATCGCCAAATATACTCTTCCGATCTCCTCGACTTCGTCTTTTGATTTCTCTGGGTGGGAACGAAATGTATTAGGTGTTACTGGTAGAAGCGTTGTCAAACACTGAATACCTGTGACACCATCATTGGTGAGACCGACGTGATCTGGTACACCTAATTGCAACTGTGAGTCTGTTCCTTTTTGGGATTTTTGTATATCACTGCCTTATTTTTTTTAAACATTGTGATTTTTTTCGTGTTTTTTCTTGGATATATATATATATTTTCCCCTCGTTCATTATCGTACTTCATCATGACTGAACAGATACCTAAAGTACTCAAGCTTAAGACTTTGTCACCGCCTTCGTTTCAACTGATGCCTTTCTGGCCCGACAACATCGAAGCCTGGTTTTGCTACGCAGAAGCCGACTTCTCCGAGCACGGCGTGATCGACACACGTGCACAATTCCTCGCAGTAGTCAAGGCACTACCGCGCGAATTCAACAGGTACGTAACACCTAGTATGTTTACTAGTGATGTTTCCGCTTGATTCTTAAACGAGGAGACCTAACCGATCGACAAAGGTTAGATCAACTCTTCAATAACATCGACCTGCAACACGGTTCTGCGCGGACATGTTGCAACGGATGAGAGAGGTAATAGGCCCAAGAACTTTCGACGAAGGTCTATTCAAACAACTCTTCTTGTCAAAACTTCCCCAACAGGTGCAAGCAGTTCTGGTTTCGTTCCAGAACAACGCCTTAGACGAGCTAGCTGTATCTGCCGACCGCATTTTAGAAATTACGAAACCTTCTACTACCGAGGTATTTTCAGTCAAAGAAAAACCTCAAACGACTCAGAATGATATAAACGACTTATGTCACACACTCACGCGTTATCTTAGTCTTCGTACCGACCGTAAGAGATCGCGCACACCACGTAGAAGCATTTCTCGTAAGCGATCTGTCTCTAGACCACGAAAGACGGATAATCCCGACTGGTGCTGGTATCATAACCAGTATGGAAAGCTTTCCAGAAATTGCAGAAAACCCTGCAATTTTCCCAACACGAGACCGACTGATTCGAAAACCAATTCGGGAAACTTCCAAGCCGGCACGCGTTAACGGCAACCGTAGCCGGCGAACATAGCTGTCTGTTATACGTCACAGATGTGACAACGAGAGTTCGCTGCCTCGTCGATACTGGCGCAGAAGTTAGCGTTCTCCCAGCGAATCCCAACGATCGGCTTCAAGAATCGGCTCTAAACTTACAGGCGGCAAACGGAAAACCGATCGCTACGTATGGCAAAAGGTACATTTACCTTAACGTGGGTTTACGCAAACCCATTCACTGGATCTTCGTTGTTGCTGATGTTTCTATGCCAATCATTGGTATGGATCTTCTACAACACCATAATCTGATCATCGACACGCGAAAACGGAGGCTAGTAGACGGAAACACTAATTTATCCGTTCGCGTAACTTCTTTTACTGGTTGCAAATTATCCCCAGTCACAATTAAACATATGATAGACCCACTCTATCAGCCACTTCTCGATAAGTACCCTGGGATACAACAAACTCAACCGAAACTACCGTGTGTAACCAGCAATGTTACACATCACGACTACAGGACCACCTGTATTTTCTAAAGCACGACGACTAGCCCCTGAAAAGCTAAGGTTGGCGAAAAACGAGTTCGACCATATGATAGACTTAGGAATCATACAACCGTCAAGTAGACCATATGCATCTCCGTTGCACATGGTCCCTAAAAAGGACAGCAACGATTGGCGTACAACTGGTGACTATCGGCGATTGAACGCGAAAACCATTCCCGATCGTTACCCGTTGCCTTACATTCACGATTTGACAGCTACCTTGAAAGGTACAACTGTCTTTTCGAAAATCGACTTGGTTAAAGCGTATAACCAAATCCCTATGGCTACTGACGACATACCGAAAACAGCTATCATAACTCCCTTCGTACTATGAATTTTTGCGAATGCCTTTCGGTATAAGAAACGCTGCTCAAACATTCCAAAGATTCATAGACGACGTTTTTCGAGGTCTCAACTTCGTACATGCGTATGTTGATGACTGCCAAATCGCAAGTCCGGACAGAGAAACACATCTCAAGCATCTGGATCTTGTTTTCGAACGACTACAAAAACATGGCATTACTGTAAACGTTCAGAAATACCAATTCGGAACCAACTCATTAGACTTTCTGGGACACACTATCGATGCTCAAGGTATCCGACCCCTTAGAACCAAAGTGGCGGCCATTCTGGATTACCCAGAACCGACCACCGTCAAGCAATTACGCACGTTTAACGGCCTCGTAAGTTTCTATAGACGTTTCATACCGAAATGCGTATTACTTATGAAACCTCTGACCGACCAACTTCGTGGAAATGCGAAATCCATTAACTTGGACGACACCGCACGAAAAGCATTCTCCACAGTTAAGGAACTGATTGCTAAAGCAACAATGCTCGCACATCAGGACACCGAAGCACCCATTAGCATCGCAGTAGACGCATCGGACTCGGCAATCGGAGGCGTCAATGGGTTAACAACTCCTGTTAACCCTTGGCATTTTTCTCTAGAAGGTTGCTAGACACCGAATCGAGGTACAGCACATTCGGTAGGGAACTCCTAGCTATGTATTGTGCTGTACGGCATTTCCAACACTATATCGAAGACCGTGAATTCACTCTTTTCACGGACCATAAACCGCTCACTTTCTCGTTTAGCTCTCCTTCTGACAAGCACTCTCCCTGTGAGTCTCGACAACTAGACTACATTTCGCAGTTTACTTCAGATATTCAGCACATCTCTGGAGCAAACAATGTAGTTGCAGACGCCTTATCTCGCAAAACTTCCTTGAACAGTTTCCAAGGAATCGACCTTCTTAAACTCGCCGAGCTTCAAAAAGAAGACAGTGATCTTCAGCACGAGTTATCGTCCACAACACTTAAACTACGCATCAAACAGATGGGAACAGGTAAGGAAACCTTACTTTGTGACACATCTACAGGTAGGGATCGCCCAATCGTGCCGAAACATTATCGACGCAATGTCTTCAATACATTGCACAAACTTTCTCATCCAGGCGTCCGTGCAACCATCAAGCTTATAGCAGAACGGTTTTGCTGGCCTGGCATGAATAAAGACGTGAGGGAGTGGGCACGCTCCTGTGTAAGCTGCCAAAAATCTAAGGTTATCAGACACAATAAATGTCCCTTAGGCTCGTTTAAAACTCCCGATGCTCGTTTTGATCATGTTCATCTGGATTTGGTAGGACCTTTACCAGATTCAACTGGATACTCTTACCTCTTATCCTGCGTAGACCGTTTCACTCGATGGCCAGAAGCAGTACCTATCAAGGACATCACTGCTGAGACAGTGGCCCGCACATTCGTCGAACGATGGGTAGCAAACTTCGGCTGCCCTTCAACCATCACCACAGACCGCGGACGTCAGTTTGGATCTGATCTTTTCCGTCGTCTGACCACACTTTTAGGAATCACTCGATTCCGAACGACCGCCTACCATCCACAAGCAAACGGGTTGGTAGAACGTTTTCACCGACAACTAAAAGCTTCGCTATCAGCTGCAAACGTTTCACAATGGACTGACGCTCTTCCACTTGTCTTACTAGGTAACCGCAATGCAGTGAAAGCTGACATTGGATACACTGCGGCTCAACTCGTTTATGGAACGACACTTCGACTTCCAGGAGAATTCGTGAATCCTTCATCCTTTTCAATGAAAATGGATCTAACCTCCTACACGAACAGGCTTACAAACGCAATGCGTTCAGTTAAACCTGCTTCCACTCGACCTCAATCAACTGATGTTTTCGTTCAACCTGACTTACGATATAGTACACACGTCTTCGTTCGTCGAGACTCACATTGACGACCTCTCGAATCAGCATACGAAGGACCCTTCAAAGTTCTTCAACGTGAATCTAAGTACTATATGGTCGACAAGAACGGAACAAACGATAGCATCAGCATCGATCGCTTAAAAGCAGCGTATTTAGAAGGAAATCCCATTCATGTCGACTTTCCTTCGGTACAATCGCACAACACGACTCCTACACTCATAATTCCTCAACCGACAACCAACACTAGCGATGATACTCCGAATGTATCTGAAAATATACCTAAAACGACGCGTTCTGGAAGAAGAGTAAGATTTCCAGAACATTTAAACGACTATTGCACGTAAGGCACTACTCGACATTCTATATTATCCCAATCTTTCTTTTTAACGATATATAATTTTTTTTAAAAAAGACAATTTTATTATGCCTATATATTTATATTTTCATTTAAAAAAAAACAAAACAAAACATAAAAAACATTTTTTTAACGCTATTACGTGTGCTTGAGTTTATTTTCCATTTTTCGCCAACAATGTGTTTTTACGCACATACGGATGTATTTCGACATGCACTTACACTTTCTTTTTTCTTTTCCAGGACGACTGGAAAAGAACGATGCAGTTTACGAGGAGTCGAAATTTTCGTTGTAACTTTCTTTTTTTACTATGTTGTACCTCGGTCCCATATAGTAAGGAAAGACGACCAGACGCTGCTACATTTAGTAAGCTATCAGAAGAGTGTTTACCAACGACAAACTCGTTGGGTTTAAACTTCTCGCTGGCCACGTCTTAGGTTCGTCACTGCCCCACTAGGGGGGGAGTGATCTGTAGCGGTAAATAAATCCCCAAAATAAATAGCTCTGTAAGTTTTCGACATTGGATGCTGACCATATGTTTTAGTGGACTCATCTAGCTGAAGGCGCTCGGTCAGGCATCCGCACCAGATCACGTGTGGTAACGCCGTGCTCAACATCAACCGCAATCGATAGCCAGAATAGATCAGAGAATTCCGATATATTGGTCATCGCCAAATATACTCTTCCGATCTCCTCGACTTCGTCTTTTGATTTCTCTGGGTGGGAACGAAATATATTAGGTGTTACTGGTAGAAGCGTTGTCAAACACTGAATACCTGTGACACCATCACCAGAATACGCGTTCTAGGGAGGATAATGCATTACCATCAAGTCGGTAACAAAATGTTTACCAGGAAGTATAAGCGGATGTTTGATTTCGAAGGGCACGCACGTCCAACTCCTTGAATGACGTTATATATTACGAAGCGATAAAGATTACTTGTCGGACTCCTACGCGCAATGCTACTTCCCATTTTCTTACCAGCAGACATTAGATGGAGTTTCATTTCCTTATTCGAAACATACACCTGCACTCCTTGGTCTTTCTTGTGATTCATATGTATTGCCGTGCTCGTCTTAATGCTGTATTTGCCTTAATGTCTCCATCTCTGTGAAAAATGAGATCGTTTGAACCAATATAATTATATCCTGCTTCACACTATAAATTTCTTCCAATCTCAATCTACCAAGAATAAACGGTCTTCTGTCTAATCTCATATTGTGGATGAACCGTTTACATAAAGCGAATACTCTCAGCATTTTGAACCAGGTCTTAAAATTACTAAATCGATCTAATAAATATTAGTGGACATCAGTTAGGGGTTCCCCAGCAACATTAATTCTAGTGAATATGGCAAACCTGTGACTGATGTTTCTTGGTCATAAATGAGTGCACCTATTCTGGACCATGGAGATTGCTAGAGCCAGCAACTATCATATTGCCAGGCAGGAGATCAGTGAATTGCTGTATGGAAGATTGTAAAATCGGGACAAAGAGAAGATAACTGAAAGAGTGAGGAAAAGAATATCTGGCACAAAATATCTGATCAGGTAGACGTATAAGGATAAAAGATAGGGAAAGGTGGACAAAAATCGGCTAGTAAGAATAATAGTGGTAGTAATGATAAATTACGAGATACGCATCAGATAGTTGCCCCGGGGAACGTTAGACGGGGTTCGATCACGTGTTTCTCGAGCCTCTCAGAGCTGTTCACTGAGGGGGGGGTGATCACGTCTTCCGGGAGAGCGTTCCATTTTAAGCCGATACGGTGAGTGTGGAATTACTGGGATATCAAGTATTCGTGCGCTACTCGTCGTGCGTTGCCTCATGACATTTAATTTCAAGGTTTGTATGTCGAATGTTTTAGTTTCAATTTCAATCACTTACCACGGTTTCATATTTTCTGTGTGGATAAAAACTAACGTTTAATTGAACGATATTTATGAGTAATAATAATGACGGAGAGCCTTGTGTAGAACATTGTCAAATCTCTTATGTAGTCTATGTCCTGTTTGATCTCATCCTGTCAATTTAAGTGAAGAAGTTAAGCTCGACATTAAGTTCCCTCGTAAGAAAGCCTGACTTTAGCTAAAAGAAAAGATTCTAGCACATTATAATTCTTTGTGTCAAAATATAGGAATAGCAGATCCACAGAAACTTTAAGATCCCATCACTCCGCACATTCGTTCCACATTGAAAAGTTTATTTTCGGTTCGAGAAATGCATTTTCCGAGTCCGTGTTGCTCCTCATTAATGACTTTATGGACGTTAATATATTCCTTAACTCGGACCTGTATTAACTTTCTATAGAATCAAAAGCAGCGCCACAGGTCTGTAACAGCTAGGACGATATCTATCTTCCCCCTGGAACTCGGATATAGGACCATCGAATTACAATCATTTTTAAGGTTTATGCGTGTATAAAGACGCTTCTACGTACACACTTTTGTACTGTAACTTGCAGTTTTTTTCGGTAAGAATTTCTTCTTCTTGGTCCCTTCAGTTGTACATTTGGTTAATCTTTAGATTTTGAGTGAGACGGTTGCATTTTTCCTGCTTTGTTACTGAATTCTCACGAGCTACATCTAGATTGCTTGATTTGATGTTCCGAATATCGTTGCTGCCATATTGGTTTGTTTTCATTTTTCATTGTATTGTTTGAAATGGACAACACTTTATAGGTTTTTACTATGAGTCGAAGCATTTTTCCATAACGGGATACAATTATTGCTGTAACGGAGTTAAATATTCCCTATCGAACGAAGCGTTTGTGATCTATCCAGAAAAAACTTTTAATGTTAATGTTCCAATATGAACGTTTATTTTTGCCACTGATTTAATCATTTGAATTTATTGAACGGTTATCAGTTGAATAGGTCGGTAATAATGTTTACTTAGAACCATGCCTTATCCAACACTTTGTTTGAATTTCGACTGTGCAAGTGGACGAGTATCTGAACTAACCGCTTCAAGTTTTGATAATTTCAAACCGTTTTCATTTGTAGTCAACACTGGTCCCTTATTATATGGACACGTTCCTCTAATCATTCTCATAATACAAAAGGATATACATTACTTCATCCCTCTTAATTAACAGCCCTAGTGTTACCTGGATTGTTCTCCCTACCTCTGCAATATTCGGTGCATTAGTTTAGCTACTATTTCATTATATGATCTATTTGTTCGAAAAATTGAAGGAAATAGGGCTCTGCCTGTATTTCTATCGGAATGTATCAATGAATATATTGACGTCCGTTTATTCAATCAGAAATTGGATTTGCTATGCTTGTTCGTTCATACTTATATAATCTTTCACTTTGCGAGTGAGGGTAGGGTAAAGAAAGAAACTGGTGAAAAGTGTCAGTACTGTTCACGACTAACGATTGCTTGTAGATCCTCCTTGAAATTTTACTTGACCAGCAGATTTGGTATGTGATTACTTGCCACATATTAGCGCTTAATGAAATCGTTGATTTACTTGGTTTTCTGAACTAAAGAATAAGTTTCAGAAGCGCATCCCAAGCATCATTGTTGGTTAATAAATGTATTAGCTAAGACAGTAACCAACAACATCAAGCCGAAGCTACTGCTGATAAAGATTTGCAGGGCCAGTGCAATGTCACTGGGTCCTAGACAAACCATCCGGCAGTCGTGTCACTGAATGTCGAACAGTTCAACGATCCCCATCACGTTCAAGGAAAACCAACGAGCATTAACCAATCGCACGCAATAGACTGGTCCATAAAGCAGTGGTCGCAATCTCTTATTTTACCTACTCTTACTAATATATTTCTGTAGTAACATCCTTTGTGTTATACGGTCTTCAAAGCAGCCATAGTATCTTGATATAACGAAAGGGTAATCCACATTAGGTTTTGACCACGAGGTGTGTCTTGGACGTCAGCTGATCGGTCACACCATTCCCGTCTAACTCGAGTGGGCTTCTAATCACTCGACACAGATCACCTAAGTTTATGTTCTATGGGTTTGACACCTAACCTATATATCTGAAAGATTAGAGTTGTAAATTCCGCACTCTGCTCTTAGTTTGCTCACTTTCGCTAGGCGGCCGCATTATTGCCCTTTTCATGTTCTCATTTGTCCGTTTTTCTTTGGCAGTTTCACTATTTTTCAAGTTTCAACCGTTTTTCTCCCCTGAATACTCCAACACGGTCTCAGATGTAAATTTTCAGCTAGGAACTTTCAAAGTTTCTCGCCTAAACGTTTTCTGAAATACATGAATGTTCATTCATGAGAACACTTCCCTAACCACTTCATATTTTTTATGGTGTTTTTTACAGATCTTTAATATGAAAAAATGTGTTCCTTATTTTTCAGTTGTTATTATTTCATCTGACATTTGAGAGACTAAGGAGAAGCTTCGTAGCAAACGAATTCCTATTATTTTGTCTCTTCCTGCTTTCTGTAGTCAAAATTATCATCGGGAAAGAAATACGGAAAACTACAAAAGTAGGTGCCTTGTAGTCAAATTCTGACAAAAGATTACGATGAAGTGGACAGAATACAATATTGGAATCAGAAGTTAGTCTTTGTGTTTAACTGTCATATTTAGCAATTGAGAATCATCGACCAGTCACGAGATGATTCTTCATCTCCATAGAGATTATCCTTCCACTGTCAATATTTATTAAATTCGCTTACGCTCGTTTGGGTGGAGGTGCAGGCTAAATATCAACCTTTTACGGCGTGATCTTGAATAAAGCCTGTGATTTAGAACTACGCACAACTACCACGTAAACCTGGCTCATGTGAAATATTTGAATAGGCACAATTTGTGTCAGTGAAGCCAACCTCCCTTCAAATTATCTCAGCGTTACTACTAACCTCTGCGCACCTCCACCGTATTCATTTGTGCTAAATCTATAGGTTAGGAAGTCAAATTAGGCTTGGTTCCTTCGAAACCCAACATATTTGCATCCATATCATGAGTAAACCTGGGTGTGCCCAATATCTGTCACTAATAATTAACAAGACAATTGTAAGAACATATTTAATATGAGTAGGAGCTTTGAAATTTATTCTAAAACTTGAGTAAAACAAAAGAGTGAAACTGTTAGTGATCAGTATTTGTCCAGTATGACAGTTCTTGACCGATCAAATATTTCTTCAGTCCACTTGTAACAGTTAATCGGATTCGAAACTGACAATTTTACTCGAAGTGGTTGTTACTTGTATATGGAAAAGACATTTCTTTGGCAAAGGTATGCGATCATTCTTTCACCGTAAAAAGTCTCTCAAAACGGTGGGACTGATGACAGAGTTTTTTCTAGATACTTAAACACATTATTATAAACAATTATTGTATATTAAGTTTGATGAAATAGAGAGAAACGTTTTCTGGTGATTACTCGCCAGAGCAAGAGATATGCCTTAGTATCGTTTACCTAACCAGGACATTAGTTATGATATGCTCATACTTCGAATCTGCATAGGATATAGTGGTCACCCTTCTGGTGATACAGTCTAATGTTTCACGGAGCCAGCTAAATATGTTGAAGGATTAGAATGATATCCTCATTACTCAGGCTAGCAAAGCTAGAGAAAGTCACCAGACCAGCAAACATCCAGTTTTGTCTAGCAACACAGGCTTCTGCGTGGCAATTAGGGCTATTCCTATCAGCAATTTGAAACACTAAGCAAGAGGCTCAGTTCAAAGTTAAATGAAGGATCAAAATATCTATCAGTCGAGAGAGGTAGTGAGCAGGTGTTTTATGTGGAAATTAATGTTCAATATACTACCTCATAAAGATAACTTGGGTATTTTTAACGAACATTGTACAGGCACGCAACCTAGCTGGAATTGCAAACTCACGTTTTAGCAATAAGTATCGCTTGCTAATCTGAATACAAGAAGAATACCTTCTAATCAGATTCGTGTATTCTCTTCGTTTAAAGATACTACCAAACTAATCTTTATTGTCAGTCTTATATCAAGAAACTAGACACAAGATTCGATGGAGGAGCTTACTTCAAGCGCAGATGTAATATGAAGCGAGTACGAAGCTGCTCACATTGGCAGTGTAAAGAAGATTCCCAATCAGACTCACAAAAAGGCTTAAAACATACATTCCTGGAGAATGTGATCAGAATTTGAGCAATGAGAGAATTACAATGTGTAGCTGTTTACATTTAATAAGAACTTATGACTAGCCGTCTTTAACGACAATGACAATACATATGCTCAGAATTACAGCTAACTATATAGGAGCAGCTGATTAGGCTTCCCAGTTCGTGGTTTCGTCGTGAAGCCCTAGTTTGAATGGATGGCAGAGTATTTAGGATCCTTTTAGAGTGTGAGGACAAAGGAGAGAACCTTCGCTTGAAGTTATCATCTGGTTTTCTAAAACGGATTCAGAAAGCTCGCTTATATTTTTGTGATTAAATAACAGAACATTTTAAACTCGTTCAATTAGTTTGCTATAGGTTGAGGGTGAAACTACACTGGTTTCTACACACTAGGTGGTGGTTTCGGTATTACTACCCAGTGATCCCTTTTCCTGTACAGGATTCTTCGTCTAACAAGAAAATACAATAATGTCTAACATGTCTGTATCTAATTAGATCACTGTCAATGAGGAAGGATTAAGTTAAGAAGTTCTATACTGAAAATTTAATGGTCTGATATGTCTATTTTCTGGAGTCCCATATAGAGTCATTCAGGTTGATGTGTAGAAACACCTCTCCAGTGAAAAAAACAAGTACTTAATAGAACATTTCCGTTGTCTTTCGGAACGAAAGTATACTTTCAAAGAGAAGTAGTCCTTTGAAATAGACGATTCCACCTGGCCTCATCATATCCGAACTTTTTTCATGATATGATCTAAAAATACAGTAGTTGATGGGGTTATCACATGTGCTCTAGTGCAACATGTGAAAGAAGCGACAAGGTACGATCCGGACACTAAATCATCCTTATTAGATCTTATACTGACTCATTATGAGGATGATATTGCGAACCTCCATCATATGCCACCCCTAGGTAAAAGTGACCACGCAGTTTTAACTTTCGACTTCCATATAACTGCCAGTCACAAGGACGCGTCAGTCCAGTCCAGACCCAACGTCTGGAAAGCAAACATACCAGACATCATGCACTCCTCATCGTTAATAGATTGTACAATAGACCCAGAGTCCTCCATTGAAACGGCCTGGGACGCATTTCGAAATTCATACTTAAAAGTTACCACACCTCACATCCCTTGGACTATACTAAAGGGGCCGAAAAACTCACCACCATGGTTCAGTAGGGAGGTCCGTATCCTTCTCCGTAAGAAAAGGAAAATGTGGGATAGATTTAGGTTACTGGGGGCTGATGAGTCAAAATCTCACTATCGAAAGGCTCGGAATACTTGTGCCTCGACCCTCCGTAAATCTAGAAAATTGTACGAAGGAAAACTTGTTAAGGAATCCATAGAATGTCCTAAACGCTTGTATTCCTATATAAACCAAAGGACAAGGAGAAAAGGAAATATTCCTGCTCTATGGGGAGACAGTATTGCTTCATCATTAGTGGAGGACGACTTTGGTAAGGCTCAAGTGTTCTCGAACTACTTTAGCAACGTATATACCATAGAAGCGCCCTTCCTGTCAGCGTATACAGATCCCCCCATACATAAACTGGATAGCGTGACCATTAAAGAACTCGACGTCTTTGGTCTGCTCAATAAGCTTGACATAAGTAAATCCACGGGGCCCGATGAATTACATCCTAATCTACTGAAGGAATTATCTAACTTCGTTGCAAGCCCTTTAAGTACATGCTTTAACCTATCCGTTACGCAGGGTCGTTCACCGAAAGACTGGAAAAACGCCATAGTAAGTCCTGTCTTCAAAACAGGTACGAAACACAAACCTGAGAACTACCGCCCCGTTAGCCTAACTAGTGTGGTTGTTAAAATCTTAGAAAAGATTAGTCGTGAGGATCTGTTTAAGTATCTCGATAAAAAACGGATCCTCTCGGAGAAGCAGCACGGTTTCAGAATAGGTTGCTCTTGTCTCACTAACTTATTAGTGGCTCGTGAAAGCTGGTGCGCTCTTAAGGACCGAAAGCTACCTGTAGACGTCGCCTTCATTGATTTCAGTAAAGCTTTTGACAAAGATCCGCACAACCGGCTGTTATATAAGTTAAGAAAAGTCGGGATTGGAGGCAATTTATTGATGTGGATAAAAGACTTCTTAGTTGGGCGTCAACAAAGAGTAAGGGTGAACTCAAAGTTATCTAGCTGGGAAACTGTGCTTAGTGGAGTGCCCCAGGGTACAGTTTTGGGGCCAGTGCTATTCCTTTTGTATGTAAATGACCTTCCTCGTCTCCTATCATCATCGGTCTTGCTATTTGCTGACGATGTCAAGATATGGAAGACGATACGATGTAAGAGTGATAGCTTAGAACTTCAAAATAACCTGAAGAAGTTATCTGAATGGTCTCAAACATGGCAGTTGCCGATAAATACTTCCAAGTGTGTTGTGATGCATATCGGTCATCAAGACACAGATACATATACGATGAATAACACTAAGCTACCTGTCGTCCAGACATATAATGACTTAGGAGTTATCGTTAGTCAAGACGTAAAGACTACTGCACACTGCCGTGCAATAGCCGCCAAAGGTTTTAGAACCTTATGGTCAATACGTAGAGCTTTTAGTCATGTCGACGATAAAAAGTTTTTGACTTTGTATATAGTGTTCGTTCGTCCTAAACTTGGGTACTGCATACAAGCGGCTAGCCCCTGCTTAAAAAAAGACAGTGAGCTTCTGGAAAAGGTTCAGAGAACGGCGACTAGGCTGATTCCCGGGATAGCGAAGCTTCCGTATGAATCTCGAATGGCTAAGCTGAACCTTTTCCGTTGTCATATCGCAGAACTAGAGGCGACTTGATTACAGTCTACAAATTGCTTAGTGATAAATTTGCACCTGATATGCCCTCATTCTTCTTGTCTTCCAAAACAGAGAATTTACGAGGACACTCCAAAAAAGTTCATAAGCCGAGAACAAATTACTTGTCAGCTGACTATCGACTTTCCCATCGAATCATCAACGAGTGGGATTCACTACATCAGCACGTGGTTGCGGCTCCATCCGTCGACTCTTTCAAAAGAAAGTTGGATCAACTGAGAGACCACCATTGCCAGTACTAACATAGGCCATCGAGCCTCCTGTCCTTCCCAAACTGAAACTGTAGATCAGCTATTGAAATCATCGCCAGGTAAACCTCTTTCCGAACAAAACAATATCCTGATTTTATCATATCATATAGTGAAAAAACTCGCACTTACGTATAAAGGATGTGGTTAGTATAATTCACATTATTCAAACAAGGTTTCAATGGCTGGTCCACTTTCGAATGACAGCCATGTCTACAAGCGCCTATACGGCTCTGATGGTATGTTGTACATGGTTTCGTAATTTTGCTGTTTTGTGTCATTTTTAAAACGAAAGAAGCCTGTATTGCATAAATCAGTAATCTGAAACAATCTATGTTTTTTATTTTTAGTCAAGTAAACGCAAGGTGAGTTAATATTAATACAATTACTTGTGTTATTGTTTATTTACCATTACATGGAAGCATCAAGACGATTTCATCTTCATATACATTGTTTTTTTCAGCAGTCTGAGTTGTTTTTACAGGACGAATACCTTAAATATTATCGAAGCTAGCAAAGTTGGTTGATTTCTACTGTTCTTGCTTAAACTGTACCGTGGGATATAAATAACTATATTCAGACTACCAGGTGTCAAATATATTACTACTAAGACATACGATATTGGTCTTCACAAACTTCGTATTAATTGAATGGGTGAAAAATTGTTTATGCGTGGCTCGTTAATTCTAAATATTTGGCATCATTGCGACCGGACTTTTTCCTACCTATGCCGTTCGGAAAGACAATCGTTTTTAAGTTGTTGCATAATTATTTTCAGTCAAATAAGTCAACGAGAGTGTGCCAACTTTAAGGGACGTGGTGTTAGTGCATAAACTTCATCTGACACACTATGTGCTTCTGTTGATCGCATAATCAACATGAGCCTAGGGAAACGGATCGTTTTAGTCTTTTAGTAACTTCGTTTGGTGACATAAAGGTGGCAAAAGTTAAGATCACTCCTAAGTCTTCCATACCAGGATGATAGGCCTGTTCTCAACATCCCAGTTCCTTGAGTTCTGTATCTCAGTTGGTAAGCTGTCTCTGACTTGTTTCTCCTTGTGGTCTATTTCCGTTTAATTAGTCTTGTTTTGACCAGAGTAGCTTTTTCATCCAGGTTGATGTTCACAACCGAAAATGTTACTTATGTAGAGATATTTAAAGGACAAGTTATGTACCGTAACATATTGATGGCATTCACTTATGCGTTTTTAGAGTTTAAAAGAGGTTTAATAATTACACAGAACGGTTTCACTCATATGATGGTCCCAAAGTAGTTTCAGGGTCTTAAGATATCGGGTTAAATGTATATGGACAGTGAATAAAGTGATAAATACAAAACAAGGCGTATCATGGTTTGTTGCCTGATTGTTGTGATCTTGCTACAAAGTAGATAGTTGATGTACTAATTTCAATATTGTTAAGACTACTATGACACACATGGTAGAGATTGTGACAAGTCTGTATACTTGGTTTTGGTTCGTATTGTGTTCAGGCTAATTATGCTTTTCGGTGGAGAGGAATTCGGGTCTGTGGCTTATAGGTTTACAAAGTTGCTCCAGATAGGTATCAAAACATTAGTGTATGCTGTTTTTCAGCTTATCAGTATTACTTAACTATCTTCAGAAATACTCAGTTCCCGTATTAGTTTCACTGTATGTTATACAATTTAAACAAAAAATCCCAATGGAATAGGTTCCTTACATAAAGTCACTCAACTGGGAATTAATGATGGGATCGTATAATCACGTATAAAGACTATATTTGGTGTGGAAGCAGGTTGGTATCCTAGCTTCATTTAGTTCTCCATAAGAACTCTAGGAATGGTAAATACAGCTTAGTGTGCATCAGGGCAGTTTGTCGATGTAATCTGTCTAGAGACTCAATCGAAAATTATCGACTAGTACACTCCCTCTAGATTCCGCTTTGTCACCTACAAGACATCACTGTCTCATGAGAAATCAATGATATGGGGCCCTAGGGCTAGTCCTTTTACATAGCGAATATGTAAGATATAACCAGGCTATCTTAAAGTCTTTAAGTTATAAGGTCCAGAAATATAAAAATACTTTAACAATACTTACAATTGAGTGCATCAACTGCACGGTATAACAAGGCTTATAGGATTGGGGAAATCCTGTTTTTTTTCATGAGCCGTATTCTTTGTACTACTCACTTGAATAACTTTATAAATCGACCTGTGTAACAGCGTGATGAAGCTAATGGATTTATAATGAACGGAAATGGTCATGCTCCAATGGAAACTGATACTAACGAAAACAAAAAGGTAAGATTACTGTTTTCCTAGCCTGTAAATTTTCAGTCAAGAATTGAATATGTTGAAACTGTTCCATCAAAAGTTGTTCATATTCGTAACATGCCAGACGATGCTACAGAACATGAAATCGCTCTTCTCGGCATCCCGTTCGGTTTGCTAGAAAACATGGTGCTTTCTAAAAAAGCTAACCAGGTAAGTATTTTAAAAATCAGTATTCCTTTCGACAGGCTCTGTTGGAAATGCAATGCCTAGAGAGTGCGATCATGATGGTTTCGTACTATCGCGAATACCAAGTTACGCTAAGAGGACGCACTCTGGTCATGCAGTATTCTAAACACCAACATCTCGAATTACATTCGGAAAACAGTAGCATAGGCAATGCAATTCAGAACGCAAATTGCATCGTTCAACAGGATCTCAGCGGCGCTAATTCTGGGATGCCTACTACAGTTCTGCGTGTTGTCGTTGATAACATAATGGGACAGCAGATCAACCATACTATTCTACACAAGGTAATGTATATTATTACTATTACTATGAGTTATTTCCCCAGATATTTTACCGATATGGAAAAATACTAAGGATTGTTACCTATCTGAAAAACAACCAGTATCATGGACTAGTCGAGTTTGGTAATCATATTCATGCATTTGTTGCAATGCTAGTAAGTCTCTTCACTTTCATTCAAAAGCTTTAGCATTTAAACGGCCAAAACATATACACTGGATGCTGTTCCCTGCGTGTGCAATTTTCGAAAAATCGTGGTCCATTGGAAGTTCGTCAAGAGAGTGATAAATGCAGAGATTATCTCAATAATCCACTAACTGAGGAGGAGTTAATGTCTCTTCGAAGACCCACAGCTGGGAGTGAAAGACATCATAGCAACAATCCTGGTCATGTTTCTTCAAATTTCCAAAATTCCGTCGTACCGAATATGGCACACCAAGGTATCCATCTCCCGGTTGGGATGATTGCACCTCCAAATACGAGCAATATGGGGATTAACGAACTGACTGCTCAGTTAGCAGCACTAGCTCAGCAGTCAGGTTTGGCTCTTACTCCTGCAGCAGTAGCTGCCACTGCAAGTTTCATGGCTCTTACATCACAAAATAGCGGTCCAGGTGCTCAGTCTATGTCAGGAACTCCTAATCTGTCCACTATACTAGCAGCACTTCAGGGTGGTGCTGTTCAAACTGGGGTGCTCCCCCATATGTCTGGCGGTAACACAAGTGTTATGGGATCTGTGCAGACACCTGTCTCTTCTCACGTGACGCCTGTTGGAGTTCGTCCCCCTCCTAATAATAATGGAAGCACGGTCCTGATTGTATCAAATCTGAATGAAGATGTAAGTGTTGACTTTGGAATGTCGAGATTATGGGTTTGCTCAAAAAACATGACGTCTAATTTAATATTCTGTTTTTCGTTTCATGTTTTCTTGAAATCACACCATCTGCTCTCAACCTTGGGTCTTTATTCGTTGATTGGCTATACGATTATGATTACCCATCACTGCTGTCAAATCGGCCGTTTTTCTTCGTATTTCGCTGTTCTTGTTCAATCTTGTTGCACACTTGCATCTGTTGTGCAACTGTACGTGATATTAAATTCGGATTCATTATTTTAACCTTCATCTTCGTTAAGAGGGTTTATCCGGATGCTCTTTTTACACTTTTTGGTAGGTTTATGTCTTTTCTTGTTCTACCGTTACCCATCACAGATTTTCTTGTCTATAAACATTACTTATTTATTCTCTTGTTCTGTATTAATTCTGTTTTTATTCCTTATATTGTCTTGACAGCAGCACAACTGGTTTTTCTTTGTTCATTCTCATGACTCTACCCATATTCCCTAGTAGATCAGTAATGTAAATGTATCATTAACTAATACTGATTTTCAGTCGATTTTGTCTTGTAAGATTTCAGTCAACCACTTAATGCTTGTGACTAACTGCGTTAAGCATTGATTTTCAGGTTGTTAAAGGTATGTGATCGTAGTAACTTTCTTATCGCACTTAACATTCACTTCATGAAGAAAGGCTTTCAATATTTACTCAGGTTTTTTCATTTCCACCTTAGAGGTGAAGCTTACTAATCTTATCTCGTTAACATCTATAGTAATACTGTCAAACATTATAGTTACAACCATTTATTCAATTGCTTAGTGTTTAAATAACTAGTTAAAATCCCGCTTTGGTCGAGTGTCTTACAGAAAGCCGACTATAAAGATTCGAAAATTAGTCTTAGGTCTAGTGCATGAATATCTGCATAGTCATTGATTCCCAGTATTGTTCTATTGAGTATAATTAGACAGTTTATACATATGACCAAGCGGTCCGACTTTTTGAAGTGAGCACTCTAAAATGCAGTTTTACCTATGTGATGACCAAACATTTATTGCATGTTGTTCCTTGTTATTCATTTTGTCCTCTAATTTCAAGTGGTACTATCCTCTGGGTAGTAGATAAAATTTATCTACTAAAGCTCATTACATTCGGCTCCACTTAAACCATTCAGCCCGGTCAAAGCAGTATGGTTTTTTATAATTCTAATCTTACGCTTTTATATAGGAACCCCAAGAGTAGCTTGAGTGAAGCCTGTAATTTGGACACAAGAAGCCCGAACGCTTCTGATTGTCCCATTGTACTTTGTCTCCCATTCTGAAACTTCCTACCTAAAGTTTATTAGCAACATGGTGGATAAATGATAACGTTTCTTCAACAGGAAATGCATTATCAGGACCAAAATATTATTTACATGCTGAACAATTTTTGTTTACAGGTGTATATGGAGATGTCACTCGCGTGAAAATTATGTTCAATAAGAAAGACACAGCCCTGATTCAATTTACCGATCCTCACCAGGCTCTTACAGGTAATTTTGTCAACATTCTGATAATAAATCTCATAGCTTTACAGTTTCTCAATGGCCAGCGCCTCTGGGACAAACCGATGAAAATTGCAGTGTCTCGACATAATATTGTTCAGCTACCGAAAGAGGATACTGAAAATGGTTTGACCAAAGATTATACTAACAGTCTGTTGCATCGTTTTCGAAAGCCCAATTCAAAAAATTTTCAAAATATTTACCCTCCAAGTCACGTTCTTCATTTGAGTAACATCCCTCCTTCGGTAACTGAAAACGATATACGTGTGTTATTTGCAACTAAAGGATTTGAAGTTACTGGGTTTCGGTTTATGTAATTATATAATTTCTTAAGATGTTTACGTTAATTTTTTATAGGAAGGATAACAAAATGGCACTCGTGCAGTTGGAAACAGTTGATTTGGCTATTCAGTCTCTTATCGTAAGTTCATCTTAATTGCAACTTTATTTTTCGTAACAGGAATTGCACAACAGCCAGTTGACAGAAAATTCTCACTTACGGATCAGCTTTAGTAAATCGGCTGTTTGAAATATGTTGTTTTTCCTACCATATTGCATGTAATGCTGATGGCTGTCTGTCAGGAAATAATCTTGCATACTATCCGTGCTCTCCCAGCCTACCTTTATTCGAAGGTTTGATTTTATCTTCTCAATTTTCATATTGGCGTTATCATGTTGATAGTCATCAAAAAATGTATTTAACGGTATCATATTTTTGTTTTTTTGCTTTTTAAGTGGGAATTAAAAAAATGCGCTTGAAATCATGTAACAGCTGTGTCTCCAAATAATACTAATAATACTTTTTTCAGACAATGATATTGCTTAGAGTAAAAGTTACTGTGGGTGCCACTTCTCCCATATTGTTCTTTGAATCTTTGTTTTACTTCGCAATGCGGTTTACTCCGTTTCATCATTGTCCATATTTGTGTCGAATATTATGACAGCTTGTCTTGACACTAGAATGTTTGTCGATTTCTATCAAATACACTATGGTTAAAGGTCTATATTTCATTAAGGGAATACTTCAGGCTCCTGTCGATTCAGTTGTTAGTAGTACTGTTTTCGATTTGTTGATATACGATTAACGCACCAATTGTTCTTGCCGAATAGTAAACTTTTTAGTTGCTTGGGATTAGATAGAACATGGTCATAGTTTGAGAGAAATGTGACCAATACTGCATTACTGTCCTTTACGGTTGACCTTCACTGGACCAACTCATTCTCTAGGTGTTTCAGCCTAAAAAGTAAGTTACGAAAATATATTGTGATCGAATGCGTTTAGTCACATTATTGACTTTCCAATTGTTGGTGCGTTCATTAAGTTCAACACCTTTCTGATTGTAATTCTTACTTGCGTTGCTGAGAATATATGGACCTCAGTGCGTTTTTTAAAAATTGACTGTCTCTTAGTATTCTTCATGTAAAATAAATCCCAAAAAAGGAGTCAATCATTTGCAACGTAGAACCTGATATATATATATATATATATATATATATATATATATATATCGCTTCAAGTTGTTAGGGCAAATCCCAAGGTAGTGGAAGTAATAAAAGTACTGGTCTTGATAGAAAACATTAGGCATCAAATGTACGATTAAAAAATAACAGATTAGTGTAATAAGAATTCTGAAGGATTTCGAATTATGTTAGAAGTAGGTAAATTATGCAGACCTCATACAACTAGGAAACATAGCTTCCAGATCCTTTAATTGTTCAATGCATCAAACAGTCTACTGCCAACAACGAAAAATCCACAAGGTATTTCGTAACTGCAGGCACGCATCCCATAGCATGTTATGGGATACACTAATCCAATGTAACGACCTATGGTTTTTAATGAAGAAAGACCCATCCATCTTTGGACCGGTCATTAACCAGTTCATAATGTTATATTTAGTTTAGGAGATAACATGACTTAATTTCAGTTTATTACGAAGCAGCTAAAGGAGTTAAATTGGAATAGACTTACTTTTTCCTTTAAGTCATTTGGTACAGTTTTGGATGATCTGCTCAGCTAATCTTGAATAGTTTTGAAGATCGTATATCTTAAACCCCGGTCCTTATTACCGTTTGAGTACTTGAGAAGTGATCAATAACCTGAGTAATCTTAGAATCGCAGCCAACCTTAATTTATTTTAGTTGCTGACACCTAAATATGGTAATTATGATGTACTATTTGTAGATATCCTATAGCTGGTCCTAGTCGTTCATGTCTCAATGTTATTACGAGAAATGTCAATATTCAAATTTTGGTGTAATAATAAACAGATATTAGGCTTTTGCAAAAAGTGAAGAAACTAATCTTGGAAAAGAAATGTGATGAATTTATAGGATCGGTCCGTACAGGTTATGATTACGAGGCGATATGAAAATATGGGCTCATTCCCCAATCGCATTTACTACATAGTCCTGATTAGTCTTAAGACTACTGACGGCCGATCCACCGTTTTTAAAGATGTGAAATTAAGGAGCGAATGTGTTTCGGGTAGGTTTTCCGACAGCACAGAATCAGAACACCAGAGTGTGATTAACTGAAGCAATAGTGAGATTGCCAAAGCCAAGTATGCTTGAGAATTGTGTCAGATTTCTATATGTACATTGAACAACCTCCCGTTAACTTCCATAAAGTAGTTATCGAAATTCCAGATTTGTATTATGTCCTTGTTATGATTTAGGAAGGTTCCACAGCTTTTTTAATTTAGAAAGTTTGAGCTGACTAACTCGTCTTTAATAAGAATACTGTGCAAAGTGGGATTATGTGGATTACTGATGACAAAGTTCTAAGATCGGGGTTTAGTTTTTGAGAAAACTGTGTCGCTGGATGTTACTTCTTTTTAATATGATCAAAAAACAATCAGTAAAGAAAGGAGACCAAGATTCATTGCTATATCAGAATTCATTAGACTAAATCCACTGTACATAGACGGTCTTTAGGAGCAAATGTGCCACCAAATGATATACTGTTTGAGTTGCTGCAAGTAACTGTGGTTATCTTAATTTCACGTAGTCAGAATGTACACCAGTTAAACCTAATGACGTTCCACCAACTCTGATGCAGGTTGACCGATTAACTGTTTGATTATATTGTATTCTTTTGTGGACTAGTTGAGCTCTTGGACTCTACTTATCATCACTTTCTGTCTACGTGATGGAGACTTCGTGCTCATGACGACATCTGACTATTTAATGTAGATCTAGCTGATAAGCAGTATCTCATTTTCTCTGTTGGAATACTCACCCTGGAGTATAAAAACCCCTATTCGCACACGTGTTTGGAGATAAAACATAGATACGAATCTTTCCTTGATTTGGATTCCCACTCAGTTGATGCATATTAAGATACTGAAATAATAGGTTTATGGCTTGATTTGGTTTTGTAAGCTGACTGATTTTTAATTCAGTAGATCTCATTATTATTATGAAGCGATGGCTTCGTCGTCAGAGCGATCACACTTCAGTTCGGAGTCACAGGTTCGAATCCCGCCCTACCTACTTTGGTTTGGGCAACTAAGCAGCGATGATACCTTTCACTTTTAGCATAGCTTATGCCCAGGTACCTAATGCATGAGGTAATTAACTTCTTTTAGATAGCATGACCTCCCATATCACGTAGCGGTGGGGTGCTTATTTATTTAATTAGTGCTAAATCAATCTATCCTGATAATCGAAACATTCGCCAGTAAACCAACCACATCAGAGAACAGCGAAAAACACTACGATATATGCGCAATCGTTAGGTATATGTATATTGACGCCTTTGTCATATTTGTAATATGTCAATGATACCGACATAGACTAATGTTTACTTTTCCGTTAAGTCACTAAACGTCCTCAGAAAGATTGATCTACCTAAACCTTAATAAAAAAAGTTTGACTAGGTTGAAGAAGCCTGTTAGACAATACCATCTCGTAAATACTATGTATTACTTTAAGTGTGTCATATATTCATCTGAGCCATAGTCAAGTAGAAAAGTTGGTTATCTACTTTAGGATCATCGAGTAGAACATAAAGTTAGAAACAATACCTATGGAACCAGACTCAGAATTAAAAGGCGGTATTATACAATCTGAGGTAGGTTATGACAAAAGCAGTAAGAATTTAAGGGAAGTGAATTAATGAAATTAATTTACCAAGTTTAGAGATTTATTACCGTTAATATGCGTTGCTTTCAATTTGTGTAAAATAATATCGTTCATATTTCCCAATCCTTTGACCGATAATGATAAGACATTTTGGCACTCGAATATCGTGTTGGTTTAGCGTATGTGTAGCTCTTTAGCTTATAACCTTCAACTGGATGGAAGTACTTCCAGTATATCTAAATTTACTGTTTTATGTTGATAGATTTTCCATGTCTTTATCAATGGAGGCACAAAGACGTGGAGTCACTACGAATGATGTAATATCAAGGATGCAATAGTATGATTATTATGCTGAGGTATACTTTGATGGCTTTTGTCGAATTTTTATGTTAGTGGAATGCAGCGTCTACACTTCGCCTCAGCCCATAACGCGTTATCGTTTGAAGCAAAAGGTACCGGGTTTTAATCTAAGTGTGAACGTTAATACTCTGATCCAGGTCATCCATATGACTGGTCACAAATTGAGAGTAACACGTGTCCTAGCTTCCACCATTAACCACAATCCAAATTCAATGTCTTTACTATTTATGAATTAATAATAAACATTTTTAATATTGTACGGATAAAAGTCTACATGTATTTAGCTGTTTTATTTAATTTTGTATCCTGAAAACTAACAAAAATGTACTCAGACCACCACATGTCTTGAAACTAAAGTTCTAACAGGAAAATTCAAATCAGTGGTGATGTTTATACTTCACTCACAGACTATTGACATAGTAAGCGGCGCTACTAGTGCATCTGGTGGCACGACAAGTAAAGGAGGCTAAGAGGAATGAAGCGGTTAGTCATTTATTTCACTTATTGAGAATATTTATGCGGAAAATACTGTTCAAATCTTTCCAATAAAAATGTCTCTGAGTGTGGATCGCAATTCATCCTTATGTACTGGTCCACTGTATTAATTAACAAAACGTTATTATAAGAATTAACATATTACATGAGTTATATTTTCAAAACGTTGCTATTAATTTTAAATGTTCTCTTGTTCAGTTGTAAATAGTTGAAAACTTAGTTATACATATTTAGTGTGTTTTGATTATAAACATCCATGCTGTTCAAATAATGAAGAATGCTGGCACATTTTAAAATTTCTACTTCAATGTCTTTAAGAAGTATGCCAATACCTATGATATGTGCTTTGCACAATCCAAGTGCATAGTATTTAACAAGATTGGCAAAACCCTGAACTTGAACTCACTCTAGGTAGTAAGCGGATAGAAGTAGTCGAGCAGTTCGTGTATCCGGTAGCTGCGTATATACTGGTGATGGTGTGAGTGATGAGATCAATCCACGTACAGTGAAAGCCAGAGCGAGTTATGCCAATCTAGACCATCTTTGACGCCTTCGTGATGTTAGTCTGGCTGTAAACGGTCGGAGCTA